GGGTACCTTGCAGCTTCATGAGGTTGGAGAGGGGGCCAAGAGCTTCTAACCAGTTTTAACCAGTCTCCTGTATTCAGCTCTGAGCCTCACCCCTACTACTGGCAGGTTTGATAACTCTCAGGGGTGTGTGTGGGGGGGAGGCCTAGTTTGCTATTCCCAGGGCTCCCCTCTGTGACTGCCTGGGATTTGGCTTCCTCTGCTCCCCTAAGTCAGTTGTGACGCCTCAGCCTCATTCCATGTTCTAAAGATGTGCTGAAATTGTTCATGCCCTGACATCTCTTCTCTTTATTCTTGTGGAGTTTTAAATATTTTACTGACATTATTATACTTACAAATTTAACATTCTTGGCACTTTTCATTCCTTTGTATAGATCCAAGTTTCCATCTGGAATCATTTTCTTTCTACCTGAAGAACTCCCTTTAACATTTCCTGCACATCTGGTGATAAATTCTTTTCTTTTTTCTTTTAGTACCAGAGATTAAACCCAGGAGTGCTTAACCACTGAGCCCCAGTTCCAGCCTTTTATTTATATACTTGAGACAGGGTCTCACAGCTCAGGGCCTCGCCAAGTTGCTGAGGCTGGCTTTGAACTTGTGATCCTCCTGCCTCAGCCTCTCAAGCTGCTGGGATTACAGGCATGCATTACTGCACCTGGCTTGGCAATAAATTCTCTTAGCTTTTGTTTGTCTGCAAAAGTCTTTATTTCTTCTGTACTTTTGAAGAATATTTTCACTGGATATGGAATTCTGGGATGACTTGTTGCTCCCTGCCCAGCATTTTAAAGATTTCATTGGGGGCTGGGGATGTGGCTCAAGCGGTAGCGCGCTCGCCTGGCATGCGTGCGGCCCAGGTTCGATCCTCAGCACCACATACAAACAAAGATGTTGTGTCCACCGAAAACTAAAAAATAAATATTAAAATTAAAAAATATATATTAAAAAAAAAGATTTCATTGCATCATCTTCTGGTTTGCAGTTTCTGGTGGGGAAATATGTATTATTTCCTATATTTGTTCTTTTTTTGGCGGGTAGGTACTGGGGATTGAACTCAGGGACACTTGACCACTGAGCCACATCCCCAGCCCTATTGTTTTTTAATGTGTGTGTATATATATATATATACACACACACACATATACATATATATATATATATAAAAACATATGTATATATGTTAATTTTTTTAGTTGTAGTTGGACACAATACCTTTATTTTATTTATTTATTTGTATGTGGTGATGAGGATCAAATCCAGCTCCTTGTATATGCTAGGCAAGTGATCTACTGCTGAGCCACAACCCCAGCTCCTCACCCAGCTCTATTTTTTTAAAAAAAATATTTTTTAGTTTTTATAGTTGGACACAATACCTTTATTTTAATTTATGTATTTGTATGTGATACTGAGGATCAAACCCAGCGCCTTGAAGATGCTAGGCGAGTGCTCTACCGCTGAGCCCCAACCCCAGCGCCTATCCCTATTTTGTATTTTATTTAGAGAAAGGATCTCACTGAGTTGCTTAGGGCTCACTTTTTTGCTGAGGCTGGCTTTGAACTAGAGATCATCCTGCCTTATCCTCCTGAGCCACTGGGATTACAGGCACATGCCACCACACCTGGCTCTATATTTGTTCTTCTATACAGAAAGGATTTCATTTCTTTGAATTTCTTTTTGTCACTAGTTTTTTGCATTTGATTGTGATGTATTTTTCTTTGTGTTTATCTTGCTTGGGGTTCATTGAGATTCATGGCTCTGCACATTTGTTATTTGTCTCCACAACAAATTACCAGGAATTGGGTGGGATAAAACAACAAAATTTTATTCTCTCACAATTCTGGAGGTCAGAGTCCAAATCAAGGTGTTGGCAAGGCAGCCCTCCCTCCAGAGTCTCTAGGGCTGACTGCTTCTTTGTCTCATTAACCTTCTGGTGGCTCCAGGTGTTCCTTGGCGTGTCCCTGCCTGACTCTGGTCTTTGCCTCTGACTGCACATAGCATTCTCTTCTCTGTCTTCAATTTATCACTGAATTTTGGAACCACCAGGACAATCCAGGGTGAACTCATCTTGAAATCCTTAATATAATTACATCTGCAAAGACCCTTTTCTCAAATAAGGTCACATTCAAGGGTCTTGAGGGTCAGGATATGATGTGGACATATCTTTGTAGGGGGCACTATCATTCAACCCCGATAATAGCTTTATCTGGAAAAAATTAGGCACTCTGTTTCTTTAAATTATACTCTTATCCTGTCCCTTGGGACCCAATCACACATTCAAATTCTTTTTTTTTTTTTTTTTTTAATTTAGAGACAGTTCTCACTGAGCTGCTTAGGGCCTCCCTAAATTGCTGAGGCTGTATTTGAATTTGTGATCCTCCTGCCTCAGCCTCCCAAGCTGCTGGGATTACAGGTGTGTACCACCACACCTAGCTCACACATTAGAATTCTCGATAGTGTCTCATAGATGACTGAGCCTTTTCAATGTTTTTTCACTTTTTTTTTTTTTAAGTCCAACTGTGCTTCAGTTTGGATGGTTCTATTGCTGTTTTCAAATTCACTGATTTTTTTTTTAAATCTTAAATGCCTAATCCGCTATTAATTAAAGCCAGGGACGTTTTCATTTCAGATACTATATTTGTTCTCTCTAGATGGATTATTGAGTTCATTTTGCTATCTCCTATTTCTCTCCTCATGAATATCTTGTTCAAATTTTTCCTTAAATTCTTGAGCATATTAAGTCATTATCTTTATCATTTCTATTGAATGATTTTTCTCCTGATTATGGGTCATGTTTTCCTACTTTTTGGCATAGCTAATTATTTTTAACTTGATGTGATAAATATCATGATGTTAAGCATCTGGATTTTGTTGTCTTCTCTTAAAGAGTGTTAGGCTTTGCTCTGTAGACCATGTAAATTATTTGCAAATGAGTTTTGATCTTTTGAGGCTGTTTCATTTATTTATTTATTTTTGGGACATTGTGGATTTAACCCAGGAACACTTTACCTCTAAGCCACATCCCCAGGCTTTTCTATATTTGTTTTGTAATTGTTTTTTTTTTTTAATTTTTTTTTTTATTTAGAGCATTATATTTATACATGATACCTGGGTTCCTTTTGAAATAATTATACATTCAAGAATTTGATTTCAATCCCCACCCCCCTTTTCTTTCTCCTGTATTCTACTTATCTTCCTTTCACACCTTTATTTTTTTTATTGGCATTTTTTATAGATATATAAAGGAGATATTCCCTTTAGCTCACTTATATATGTATATAACATAATTCTGTTAGATTTATTCTCTATTTCTTTCCCTATCCCTTCCTTCTTGTCTTTTATTTCTCTCTCTCCACTGATCTTCTCTATATCATTATGATGTCTATTTTTTATTTTGAGACAAGGTCTCACTTAAGTTGCCGAGGCTGACCTCAAACTTTCCATCCTCCTGCCTCAGCTTCCTGAGTCATTGGCATTATAGCCGTGTCTCCTGTGCTTGGCTGAGACTGTTTTAATCTGTTATGGGCATCTCGTGAGCCTTTTCTCTAGGTATAGTTTAGCCCTACTACTAAGGCATAATACATCTACCCCAGAAGTGTTCATTTTCTATTGAAAATGCTGGGTGTTCAACAAAGAATCTCAACTCTAGCAGGTTGGAGCTTGAATGTCTCTCTGCCGGTGGTGAGGTCTGAGAACTCAGTCCATTGCTTTTTTTTTTTTTTTTTTTTTTGCACAAACTCATTTTAGTTTTACTGGACACATGTGAACTTTAGTATTCAGCAAAGAGTCAAAAGGACTCCTGTACAAAGGAGGATTTTTTGTTTTCTCAAGGTCCATTCCTTTTCACAACTCTGCCTTGAAGCTTCTAGCTACCTCGGCCTCCCTGAACTCCTGTCTCCTTAACTCAGTGAGACCACCAAGCTCTGCTGGGGATTCCCCTCTCTGAACTGTAGTCTGGATTGTTCCTCTAGGCAGAAATCCAAGGAAATCACAGGGCTCACTTAGTTTCTCTTATCTCAGGGATTCTAGTCCTAGACTACCTGTTGCCTGTCTGGAAAACAATAATTTCATAAACACACTTCTTCCCCCACCCTGCCCCAGAATTGAACCCAGGACTTTGTGCATGCTAGACAAGTGCTCTACCACTGAGTTACATCCCCAGCCTTTTTTGAGACAGGGTCTTACTAAGTCACCCTGGCTGGTACTGAACCTGTGATCCTCCTGCTTTCAGCCTACTGAATAGCTGGGATTATAGACAAGCTCCTCTGTGCCCCCACATTATTTATCATGATTGGAATAGAAACTTTTACTGGCATTTTAATCAGGTTTTGGGAAGGAAAGGGGTTACATGCATATGATCAGTTCACTGTATTTAACTACAAGTCCTAGGTTCCTAAGATATATTTAAATCTATGTTTAACAAACATATGCTTTTCTCATACAACAAAAATCTCATGCAGTGTAACCATGCTGTTCACAAAATAATATGATTTATGCAAAATGTTAATACATCGTGTCCCACAGGCACAGAACATGGCTTTGAAATTGTACTATGAATATGTTTTTATGACTCAGTGTATTACTGTACTTGTTTATAAACTTCCACTCAGTAATATTAGTAATGTAAACTGAAGGTGTGGTCTGGGACCCCTAGGATGGGTCCAGCCTTAGGAGCCCTCATGGCCAAAGCCATTCTGGACCACCCTTCATTGTCTGGCTTACTCTTTGCAGACAGCTCACACACAGCTTAGAGGAGGAAACCCAGCCAGGGGCCAAGGTGCAGAGGAAGGGAGGAAGGCCCTCCCTCTCCCTTTCCTTGAGTTAATTTCAGTCCTATCTCCTAAGTCCCCCTCCATTCACCTGGTACCAGCTCATCATATCAGTCTTTCCCATGGCCTTGTGAGGTGGCCAAAGTGGCAGAGCCAGAGGGTCACTCCTGCTTAGTAGCTGCTGGGCTCAGGTTAGCTGCTTTAGAAGTGACCAGGGCTACACTTCAACATCTTCTCCAGGTGGACATTGAGCAGCTGGATCCCCGTGGTCGGACTCCCCTGCACCTGGCCACTACACTGGGGCACCTGGAGTGTGCCCGTGTGCTCCTGGCGCACGGCGCAGACGTGGGCAGGGAGAATCGCAGCGGCTGGACAGGTGGGTACCCCTGCTCACCCCACTGCACGGCCAGGGTCTCCCCAGCATCAGGTACTCACCTCAGGTTGGCTAACAGGTCCTGCTCTGTGACACTGCCTCTCCTTCCAGTGCTTCAGGAGGCTGTAAGTACCCGGGACCTGGAGCTGGTGCAGCTGGTGCTGCGGTACCGGGACTACCAGCGGGTGGTAAAGAGGTTGGCGGGCATCCCTGTGCTCCTGGAGAAGCTGCGCAAAGTAAGGCCTAGCCTCCCGGCTCCCGACCAGAGCCCTTGTGCCCTGTTTCTAGTGCCAGCTTATCCACTCTCTTTTTCATCCTCTAGGCCCAGGACTTCTACGTGGAGATGAAATGGGAGTTCACTAGCTGGGGTAAGAGGGGCTGAGCGGGGCCCTCTCTGACTTTGGGGCTTTTGCACTTGCTGTCTGCGTGCCTGGAGCGTTGTCCCAGGGCTTTTCATGGGACTCCTTCTGGTCCTTCAGCTCTCAGCTCAATGCTGCCTCCTCAGCTAGGTCTTTCCAGACTGCTTCACATAGGCTTGCTTCCACTACTGTTTCTTTCATTCTGTACTGATTTGCTCATTTGTTTATTACCTGTCGTCCCTTGCTAGAAGGTAAGCTCCAAGAGGGCAGGAGTCCTATCTTATTCAATGTTGTATCGCCAGTGACTGGAATAATGCCTGGCATGTAGTAGGTATTCAATAAATATTTGTTGAAAGAATGAATGAGAGGTTGAGCGAATGAATTAACACACAGTAGATACTAGAGACTTAGTGGTGACTGAGACATGCCTGTCCCCAGCCTTAGGTTGCTCACATATGAAGAAGTGTGGTCTACATTTGTTGTGGTGGCTGGGGGTGGGGATTGGAGGAAGGGCTGCCCTCCCACCAGTTCCCTCACCCTTTCCTGGCCATAGCAATGACCCCTAACTCCTGTGCCCTGAGCTGGCCCAGGCTGCATGGGTCAGACAAATTGAAGCTACCTCTGACCTCCACTTCCACCCAGTGCCCCTGGTGTCCAAGATCTGCCCTAGTGATACCTACAAAGTGTGGAAGAGCGGGCAGAACTTGAGGGTAGACACCACGCTCCTGGGCTTTGACCACATGACATGGCAGCGAGGGAACCGCAGCTTCGTCTTCAGGGGCCAAGGTCAGGCAGGCAGGAGGTGGGGAAGGGTGGAGAGGACGGGAGACAGCCCCATGCCACCCTGACCCCTCTGTGCTATTCCATGCCTGGCAGACACGAGTGCTGTGGTCATGGAGATTGATCATGACCGCCGGGTGGTGTACACAGAGACTCTGGCACTGGCTGGGCAGGACAGAGAGCTGCTGCTGGCTGCCGCCCAGCCCACAGAGGAGCAGGTGCTGAGCCGGCTCACCGCACCTGTGGTCACTACGCAGCTTGACACCAAGAACATCTCCTTTGAGAGGTGAGTGGGCATGGCCTTGGCCACCCTAGAGCCAGACTGGTGCAGTGCTCACTTCACCTGGACCACTTTACTTCCCCAGGAATAAGACCGGCATCCTGGGCTGGCGCAGTGAGAAGACAGAGATGGTTAACGGGTATGAAGCCAAGGTAAGGCTGTAGCAGACTCCGCAGGGGTTTTCCTCAGCATGCTTCCCCAGCCTTGGAGGTTGCAGAGGCAATGCTGCAAGGAAGAAGTGACACTAGACTAACAGTCGTCTGATTTATTGGCATTTACTGAGCCACTTTGAGGCACTGGTCTGACATTTTATATGGCTGTATGGATACACACACACATGCACAAGTGCACACACATATACACGCATTTAATCCTGATCACAACCCTTTCAGGCAGGTATTGTTATTATCCCCATCTTACAAATGTTTCCTGAGCCCTTTCCATAGTATCCCATTTAATTTTTGCAATTCCATGAAGTAGGAATTATTAGCCATTTTATAATGAGGAAATGGAGGCTTAGAGTAGTTCAGTGACCATGTACAGTCATTGTATAACTAACAAATTGCAAAGCTGTAAGTTATAACTGCCTTTTATTGTCTCTCTAACTAGAATGTGACCTTCATGGGGGCAGGAATTGTATCTGTCTTGATCACCACTGTATCCCTGATGCCCACTTTCATGACTGACATATAATAGCTCCTCAAAAAATGTTTATTGAATGAATAAGCGAATGAACAGTATCATATATTTGTTTAGAATTTCCTTGGGTGGTGGTTCTAGAACTGCCTCTGAGCCCTTTCCTTTCTTTCCTCAGGTATATGGGGCATCCAATGTAGAGCTCATCACTCGGACTCGGACAGAGCACCTTTCAGAACAGCACAAGGGCAAGGTCAAAGGTAATAGGGCCATGGCAGATGGGGGGAGGTGCTGTGGCACTAGAGGAATCAGTTCCCACTTCAGCACCTCCACTGGTATTTCCTCTGGCAGTCCAGCAAGAACCAGGCCGTTTTACTCAGGCAAATATATTTCAGTTTCAGTCCCAAGCCCTAATGATTGGTACAGCTGCCTAGGTACTGTTAGGAAGATTCTAAGGGCTCATTTGGGCTCAGTGAAAGACATCCTATAATTGATTACTAATATCTGCGCTGCATTTCAGAGGGAAGGGAAATGTTGCACATGCACAATTTATATATTTATATAGGTAAAAAGTCAGGGGCTCTGCCATGATTCTGTGTGCCCATTGGTATCACATCTGATTCTTTGAGCATCAGCTAATCTGTTGCAGGTAGAAACACATAATACTTGCCACATAGGAGAACAAAATCATTAATGAAATCATTAATATGGAAGTACCTGAAGAGAAACACATGTACATACACCAAAACTGCTTAACAAAGGGAGGTATATTACTGTCCCAGTATCACCAACATGGAGAGTGGCACTTTGGGAAGTTTCTCCTGGGCCCTATGCCTACTCTTATTATAGCTATGCTCTTGGCCTCTGCCCATGGAGTCCTCAACCACCTTTAGATAAAGGTACCTAAGTATGGGTGAGCAGTTCTCCCATCCCAGGAACCAGCCTTTTTCCTAGGTCTTCGATATTATCACTTCTAATGAGATGTCCACATGTGTGCAGGGCTACAGTGTCCCCTGAGATACCGCATTTCTTGTAGGCTGTAAGACACCTCTGCAGTCCTTCCTGGGAATTGCTGAGCAGCATGGGGGTCCCCAAAATGGGGTGAGTGTGTGCCAGGGGTGTCACTGTGTGGAGGGGTGAGGATGTGGTTCAGGAGGAGGCTTGGGAGGTGTCCTGCCTATCATTGCCTATGTGGACCTTCCTTCCATAATGCCCAAGCCTATGTCAGTTCCACATTGGCAGCAGGGAGACCTGGGGTCCTTATGGTACCAACTGGCTGGTCTGGAATCAGGGACTGAGAAGGGCTCATGGCTCTTCCTCATGTGGAACAGACCCTGATCACTCAAACTCTGAGCCAAGCCAACCCTACTGCCATCACTGCAGAAGAATACTTCAACCCCAACTTTGAGCTTGGCAACCGGGACATGGGCCGGCCCATGGAACTGACTACCAAGACACAGAAGTGAGGACCCCGCTCCTGCTGGGGAGGGGTGGGCAGGGCTAGGGCTCCAGGAGGTGCTGGGAGGCCATGGCTTCCTGAAGCATCCCTCACCCCTTGGGATCTGGGGGGGCAGGTTCAAGGCCAAGCTGTGGCTGTGTGAGGAGCATCCCCTGTCCCTGTGTGAGCAGGTGGCCCCCATCATTGACCTCATGGCTGTTAGCAATGCACTTTTCGCCAAGCTGCGGGACTTCATCACCCTACGCCTGCCTCCTGGTTTCCCAGTGAAGATTGGTGAGACCCGGTGCCATTTCCCCTTAGCCCTTTTGGAGGGGTGTGATGAGTTTAGATGAGGTTAGAGGAGCTGGCCTGAGGTGTGAGGGTTTAGGTGGTGGCACCTGATGATTTCCTTATCCTCAGAAATCCCGATCTTCCACATTCTCAATGCCCGCATCACCTTTGGGAACCTCAATGGCTGTGATGAGCCTGTGCCATCGGTGCGAGGCAGCCCTAGCAGCGAGACCCCTTCCCCAGGCAGCGACTCCTCCAGTGTCAGCAGCTCCAGTTCCACAAGTGAGCCCTGCCCCTACCCTGGGTCTTCCCTTCTGACCTTGGCTTGCTTTCCTTCCCACTACACTGAGTTGTGCTGGAAGGGCCCAGACCCATGTTTGACTCCAAGCTCCATGCCCCCAGCCTCCTGCCGCGGCTGTGAGATCTCCCCAGCATTATTCGAGGCCCCAAGAGGCTATAGCGTGCTGGGTGGCCAGCGGGAGGCAGCAACCCGCGATGATGATGATGACCTGCTCCAGTTTGCAATCCAGCAGAGCCTGCTTGAGGCGGGTAGTGAGTATGACCAGGTGCGTCCTGCTGCCTTGCCAGGCCATGCGTGTGCAGGGTTGCCCAGCTAAGAGGCTTTCCCCTCCAGGTCACCATCTGGGAGGCACTAACCAACAGCAAGCCAGGCACCCACCCCATGTCCTATGAGGGTCGCCGTCAGGACAGGTCAGTACCAGCTAGATCAAAGAGGGCTTGGAGACACCTGTCTTCTCCCCACCCCCCAACACCGACGCAAAGGGTACACCATTACCCCTGATACTGGGCCCAGAGAACCAAGGTCCCCTCAGCAGGGCCCCTACCTGATAATTAAGATGGCGTCTACTACCACCCTTTCCCCGCATTTGGCGGGTGGGCAATGCTCCGGTGGCAGGTGAAATCCAGGTCTCTGGGCATTCAGAACCTCACCATACAGGATGTCGGGCTAGGATCTGCCATCACTGGATGGAGCCAGGGCAGCCCATAGCCACATGTCCTAGGGTCTCCTGCCCGGTTTATGGGCAGGTACGCCAGAAGCGCTGGAGAAATCCTTCCGGTCCCCAGGAGCGCCCCGCCCACGCCTCAGCGCCAGCCCACGCCCCCAGCGCCGGTGCCCAGCCCTCGGCCCAGTCCTGGCCGGGGTTCCAGCGGCCACGTGTTCCGGAGTTACGACGAGCAGCTGCGGCTGGCAATGGAACTGTCAGCGCAGGAGCAGGAGGAGAGGCGGAGGCGTGCGCGCCAGGAGGAGGAGGAGCTGGAGCGCATCCTGAGGCTCTCGCTGACTGAGCAGTAGCGCCCCTTGCTGGGCCCCTTGCCCACCCCACACACTCCCCGATCTGGGAGAGAAAATGCCCAGGCCCCCCTTGCCTAACTGAGGCTGGAGTCTGAAGTCTGGAGCCACCTCCCGGGGGCGGGGGGGTGAAGCAGTGCACCAGGAACTAGACACGGAGGGGCTTGACATGGGTGCAGGGTAGCTTTCCAGCCAGGGAGGCAACGGGCACGGCCAGGTCCCCCTGCTTTGCTATATCCTGGCTCCTAATCCGTTCCTCTGGGCTCCAATCTGTTCAAGGGTGGAGCTAAGCGGTCCTTAAGGGGAGATGAATCCTTAGAGGAGCAGTGTCCCTCCCTGTCCCTTGCTCCTGGCGGGTCCTCCTTTCTGCTCACTGACTCCTCTTTGGGTCACTGCCCCTGAAGCCTTTGCATCTCTGCTCTTCACCCTTGGGAGGCAGCGGAGCTCTCTGCGTGCTGTGTCGCTGCTTTGTCCCAGACACAAACCAGCACGTCAAGAGCCTAGCCCCTCCCCCACCCCGGCATTTCAGCGTCAAGTGCACTTAGCGGGGTGTCCGGCTCCCCCAGCCCCCCACACCCGTCCAGGGTCTCAGGGTGGTCCCAGCTTCGCCTTGGGTAGCATGAAGTTGAAGTCCCTATCCCCAAGGCACGTTTTTTTGTGATCAGGGAGTGTGTCCATGGTGGCCCCTTAGCCTGGGTGAGGCCGGACTCCCTCATGGTGCCTTGGAGAGCAGTAGGGGCTGGGGAGGGCACATTGGGCTGGGGGCAAGCACTAGACCCGACACAAAACTGGATATAAAGGGGTCGCCCAGGGCCCTAGCACCACCACCCACCCCTTCCCACCAGCTGCTGCTAGCCCTCTGTGGTTGTGCATCCCTATTGCCCCAATTCAGGGGCTGACTGTAAAACCCTTCATCCAATGGTGCTAACCCCCGGCTCTCCCCTGCCCCTCCTCACCCACCCAGAGAAGCACAGACCCCATCAGGGGAAGGGACCCACAGTACACCCTTGTCTCTGGTCTCTCTTGGACTGACCTTCCCTGACTCAGCCAGTGAGATTCAGAAGGACAGAAGAATAGAGCAACAAAGAGAAACTTTCTCCCACTCCCTTCCCTGATGCCAGGGGCACCAGACTGATTCTGAGGCACAAATAAAAGAGGCTTCAAACTGGAGGCTTTTCCTACCTGACTTTACTGGGGAGGAGTACCCACAGTGGGTAGGGGTTCAGGTACTGCCAAACCTGTCTTGAGGAAGGCTCTGGGTAAGAGGTTGCCTGGTGACTCCTGAGCCCAGGGTTGCATTTGTTAGGTTCCCCAGGAGCCTGGGGAATCACATTCGCAGAGGCTGGGCATCTTCTCACCCCCACCGAAGCAGGAGGCCCAAACTTGCACTCGGTAAAAGATTTCATTATGTCTCCAAAGGGCTGGGAGCAGTGCGTGTGTGTGGGTATGGGTGTGTGTGTGTGTGTGTGTGTTTTGAACCTGTTTCCTCATGTTAGTTATGAGATTTCTTCCAGAGGGGCCTGTCTTGAGGAAGCTCGCCTCGCCCCTGGTGGTGGAAATAGAATCTCCGCCATTGACAATGTTGCCAGTGGGTAGGTCTCTGTGGGGGAACGGGTTTGTGTCTGTGTCTGTATGCAGAACTAGAGTGCTGTCCGTCTGGTGGGGTGGTAGAATCAAGTGAGCCGATTAGGAGAAGGGCCAGTGTGGGGAGACCACCCATTTGAGATCAAGCCCAAGCCCCCTAATATCCCCAAGCATCGCGCTAAGCACTTCCCTTGCCTTGAGCGAGGGACAGAGGGGGACACCACCTCACCATGCAGCACCATTGCTGAGGCCCCCTTTACCCTGAGCCTCCCTAGACCAGCTCCTGCTGAGTCCTGGACCAAGCATACAGCCCTGCCCCTGCAAGACACTCCTTTGGTTCAGGTCTCCCGTGAGGGACGGGGCTTCCTTCCCAGTTGAATCCCTGGTCCCAGCTTAGGGAGGTGGGGTCCGGAGTCCCAGACCTAAAGCATTGGCAAGGCCAGTCCATTCACCCCGCCCCATCCAGTCGGTTGAGCGCAGAGCTCCGCCCAGCAAGCGGGTCTAGTCCGTTCCGTCCACCAGCTCGCATAGCATGTTCTCCAAAGCCGTGATTCGCTGTTCCTGGGCCTGCACCCGCTCGCGAAGAGCCTTGATCTCCTCCAGCAGCGTCTCCAGGGTGTGTTGCTGATGAGGCGCAGAGGACAGAAGCCTTTATCGGAGAAGGGTGGTAGAGGGTGTGCAGACTGGGACAACGCGGAGCTAGGCCTAATCTTACCGACAGGGATGCGTCGCTGGCGGATTGGCTGCGTCGGGGGCCGGTGGGCGGGCGCACGTCCAGGATATTGCGCTTGGTGACTCGGAGCTCTCGGTGCTTGGGAGGCACGTAGCCGTCCCTCAGCGAAATGAGCACGGGTTCGGCATCCTGGCCAGAAAGCCATTCATCCGCTTCTAGGGCCGGCTCTGGGCCCGGTGTATCCGGGTACAGATCGTCCTGGAACAGGTCTGACTGCGGGGGGTGGGTGGACAGGTCCCGTATGAGTCTATGCACCCGGCCTGCTGCGCTCCCTTAACACCTCGGGGAACCCTGCCCGACCTATTTTCCCGTTCCTCACCTTGCGGGGCACAGTCATGATGATGGGTTCACATTTTCTTTCATGCAATTTGTAAAACCTGTAAGGGAAATGTGTTCAACACCCTTGCAGACTCCCACCCCCTTAACTTCTCTTATCTGGGAACAAGGGGTTGGAGGTCAATACTTGTGAACGCCTACCATGCCCATTGCACTTTACACACATTATCAATTCTGGGGTAAAACACCTCTGATGGCGTGTTCGTAATCTTTTTTTCAGATGAGGAAATAAATTCAGAAAATGACAGGTCAGTGAGTGCTGGGATGTCACCCAGCTGAAAAAGACCTGTTTGATCCTACCGCCCACCTTCTCTTTTCCAAAACACTGCACTATTAGGGAAGCCCCGGTTTTTTAAGATCTGACACGAGTAGGGGGACAGAGGGGCCAAGACTGCTGACCTAGCGATCTCGCACTTGCTGACATCCAGCCCCCGTTTGGGCATGAAACCCATGCCCCGCTGCGGCTCTTTGCTGCTGAACGTGTTCAGGTAGTGCACGAAAGGTGGTTCATCAGTAATTTCAAAGTACCGAATGCTGCTGTCTCCCTGCAAAACCAGTCGGTTCAGGGTCAGGCCTCATATCTCCAGCCTGCCCTCTAAATTCTCCCCGCCCGGCTGCGAGCACCTTGCCACACAGGTAGACAATGCTGGAGTCTGGATCGTAGAACGGCAGTAGGACTCCGTTGCTGGTGTCCATCTCCTGCAGTGCCACTGGCTCTTCGAAGTTGTTCTGCCCGAGCACAGGAGGAGTGACTAGCCCTGCCCATTGTTCCGTGCTACTTCGGAACCCCCTTGGGGCTTCCTGTCCACCCGATTCCATGCGTTCCCAAGGCAGAGAGCTTATAGGTGCCTTCCCTGGACACATCACTCGCCCTCCCAGGCACATTTACCCTCAGCGCCAACACATGCAGTCACCGCAAACCACCCCCAGGGACTCGGCATCACCAGGTGGGGGCACCAGCACGAGCTCCTTCAGGCGACGCAGCAAAACTGGGCAGAGGGGTGGGTGTGGGGATGGCAGGCGCTGCAGAGGTGGCAGCAGCCTCCAGCCCTGCCAAGTTGGGCATGCCCTGCGGGTCGGGGGCGCCTGGCCCCTCTCCCGTGATGCCAGTCCCTGGGGCACACACCCCAAGCCTCCAGCTGCGTTACCGGGTCCCACAGGCCCAGCTCTCGCTGGCTCATGCGGGTGAATCCCGTAGTGAAGATATGACCCTGGCGCGTGAAGACAGCCCGCATGGGCCTCATCCCCTCGTGGGCTGCAAACCTCTCCTGGGGGAGGGGGAGAAGGGAGGGACATCACCCAGCTGCTTGCCCTGGAGAGCATGGAGGGCCGAGCAACCAGCTTGCTTGACTTGGGTGTGGGGCTTGAAGGCGGGGGAGAGACAAAAAGGGTCCTAAGAACTCAGCTTCCCGGGGCCAAAGGCTGGCTCCTGGCATGGAGAACGTCTGGGCCCGGAGAGAGCAGGTGGCGCGCGGCTCTCAGCAGATCCTGAGCCCGCAAGCTCCCTCAAAGCTTGATCCCTAGAGCAGGCGATGTCTGCTGGCTCCCGGGGTCGCAGCGAGAATTTTCCTAAATGGGAGCTCCCTGCTCCGTTCGGGCCTCTTGGGTGTGAACCACCGCCTGGAGAGCACTCCTGGCTGACCCAATAGAAGAGCGAGCGAGCGAGCGAGCGCGCCCGGCGCGGCCTGGCCTACCGGGTCCCAGAGCGCGAGTTGCCGCTCACTCATCCTGCTGAAGCCGGTGCTGAGCAGCTTTCCGTCAGCGATGAAGACGGCCCGCAGTGGGCGGGCGCCCTCGTGAGGTCGGGCTCGCTCCTGCTTGTGGGGTTAGTGGGTTAGAGCGCCCGCCCACTCACTGTCCCCGCCGCGTTAGACTAGCGTGCTTTACCCAGACCTGCACGCGCCCCATGCACCCCACACTCCAGATTATATTGAGGATGGGCGAAGACCGCTGACCTCCCAGGGCACCCAGCTGCGACAAGCAACGCGCGAGGGTTGCCCCCATTCCCCGCCCAGCAGGTCAACAAAGGCGGCAAGGGGCCAGTCCTCCATTCAATGGGCAGGCCCCAGACCCTGGAAGATGGTGGAGAGAGGGTCCTCGGCAGAGAGGAGAGGGTCCCGGAGCTCAGGTTTCATGCAGGTTCTGGTGGGAGGATGGAGTTTCCAGCTTCTCCCCTCAATCTCAAAGCAAGGAGCCCTTCTCTGAGCTTCTGAGATGCAGGGGAGGGGAGGGAACAGGAACCAGGGCAGAGAATTGCAGGCTGGGGGCTTTCTTAGGAAGGGAGCTCTGGTTGCAGGGGCGCGGGGAATGGGTGTGGAGGTGGGGGTGGGGACGACTAGTCTTTAGGCTAGTGGGGTAGGGATGGGGCAGGTGAAAGCTGGGACTAGCAGCTCTGATGATTGTGGGTATAGGGTGCTAACAGCTGGTCACTGGGATAGGCTGCTAGAGAGTGGCCAGGCCAGGCACTCACCGCCACCACTTGGCCCTTTCGGGGATCAATGATGCGCAGGGTCTTGTCTTTGCAGGTGGTGGCTAACAGGCTACCATTGCTATTCCAGCACACACTGTGTATGACATCTGGGTGCACTTCGTCCAGGCTCAGCAGCACCTCCCCAGTGCCCACATTCCAGATGATGATCACATTGTCACCACCTGTCCAGAGTAGACAGGCATGGTCACCTGGTACCTGCCTTTGTCCCCCTGACTCTCATCTACAGTAAGAACCCTCCTTAGGCCCTCAGACCTGCACTGAGCAGGACGTTCCTGGCTGTAGGGTGCCAGGAGAGAATGCCCACACGCTTGGAGTGACCCTCAAGTGTGATGATAGGTTCTGTAATGTTGCGCACAGGGGTATAGTCTGGAATCTGCCACACCTGGGTAGGAGAAAAAAATAAAGGTAGCCAACTCTGATCCTTCTCTCCTCCCTGCCTCCACTTAACTGGCTCTCTTTAGCAGGAAGGGTCAAATACAGGGCAAGATGTGGTGGTGTCTGTCTGGGGCAGAAGCATCTGGAAACCAGGAGGGGGCACTGTCAGCTCTCCAGAGACTTCATTCACTCTAGCAGAGAGACTTCAGAGCATTGCCCCCTGCTCTTTGGGCCCCAAGTTGTTCATGGCTATAATTAGTCTTGAGCAGTGCATCCTGGGAGGGAGTGGGCAGGTAGCTAAAAATAGCCTGGGAGCTGGGCAGGGATCTGGGACTCTGCACCTCCTTATCACCTTCCCTAGCACAGGTGAAGCAGCTCTCCCTATTCCCCTGCCCAACTGCCCAGCCGCATCCATCTGGCTCCTACCATGATGGTGGTGTCATCTGAGGCACTGGCGATGACGTTGTCATTGTGTGGGCACCAGTCTATATCCAACACAGGAGCAGTGTGTCCAGTGACCAGGGGGTAGTTCTTATCCACTCTTCCTGTCTGGAGTGGTTAGAGAAAGGAGATGTGGGGGCCACTCACCTGTGTTTTTTTGTTAATTTTTTTTTTTTTTTTGGTGTGTGTGGTACTGGGGATCAAACCCAGGACCTTACACATTCCAGGCAATCGCTCTACCATTGGGCTACATCCCCACCCAGCCTGTCCTGTGTATTTTTTTGGAGTAGAGAATCTGTTTACATCTCAATTTTCATCATCTGCTTTCTCTTTGTAGACTGCTCTCTGTATCTCCACCCTGTCCAGTCTACTTCCTGGAATGCTGAAGGCAGGTAGAGTTGAAATTATTTAATATTAGGGAATCTAACACTGAGGTAAGATGTCTTAACCAAGGACCCATAGCAAGGTACTGGTAGAGCCCAGCATTCTCAGTCCAGTGCTGTTCAAAGGATATCTAGTTGGAAGAGACTATTCTTGAGCTTGTTCCCCAATTGGAATATCTGTGGGAAGCCCTGGGTAGAAGAGGTTAAGGTGAGGTAGTATTTAGTGCAGTGCCCCAAGCCAGCCTTGGCAGATCTCTTCCTGTCACTGGCTTTACCTTGGGACCACAAGAAGTAGACAATCCTGATGCTTACTATTCCCAAACTGGGGCTGGGGGCCCACCTGTTTTGGGTCTTCATAGACTACTTGTAGCAGCTCTGAGACCTCTGCTGGGGCCAGCATTGGCCCAGACTGGGCAGTAGGGGAGAGAGGTGGCTATGTGGCACTGAAATGGCAGTGAGACTGGGGGAGGAGGCAGCTCTAGCTGAAATTTGATCCCTGGGGATGGTGTCTCTGGATGGTGTCTGCATTGTCAGGGGTGAGTCACCAGCTATTGTCAGGCCCCACCCTGCCACTTAAGGGGCCTCCCCAACAAGGTATAGGGGCCAGAACCCAGGTCAAGGTCATGTGTTGGGGTGCCCATTCTGGGGCTAGAGATGGTGAAGGGTCAGCAAAGGTCAGTCATTACCTAGCTCCCTTCCCTAGGAAAGGGTGGGCTCTGACCTTATGTTTTATGTCCCCCTATGCTTTGCTGTCATTCTACCTCAGTGCAAGAACCATAGTGGTGGGGTAGGTACCCAGGGACTATTTGGACAGAGCCTGACCCTGTCCTCAGTGTGCTACTCTGAGATTTAATCAGTCACCCTGAACTAGGGACTAGGGTCTCCAGTCCAAAATATGGGGGAGTGGCATGACATTAGGAGACCCAAGGACAAAATCTGGCCATGCCTTGGCTCCAGTGCATCCCAGTCATTTCTATCGCCAGACTCCCTGTCCTGGTTCCTGCTGGAACAGGATGCTGCATGCAGAGGTGAATGGGCTAAGGAGCGGATGTAGGTCCCTGTGACACTGTTGCTCAGAGTGGGTGAGGGAGTCTCCCCACTGGTTCCTGAAGGCTTACAGAAGAGCAAGCAGTCAGTCCACACAAACTGTCCTCCTGACTAAGGAATGGAACTAAGGTGAGAACGCAGGCTGCTGTCAGGAATCCCCAGGGGCCCCAACTAGTATCGTCCCACTTGCTTCCTTCCCCTCATCCCTCACCTTGGCCAGAGGCAGGACAATAAAGGCACCTCCGCCTCCAGCCTCCACGATAATGGCCAAGAATTTGGGGTTGACAGCACAGAAGGAGCTGTCCCATGTAACCTTGGACACACGGATGTCCTCGTAGGCCTGGTCAGCCTTTGCTGCCTGCCCAAACACATGGCGGAACTTGCTCTGCCGAACCACACGCCGGCTCATGGCTGGGGCCGAGATGGAGGATCTCAGTGCCCAGAGTGCTTTTGGTCCTTAGTCCTGTGAGCTGTGGAAGGGAGGAGGAGTGGAGAGAACAGTAAGTGAGAAGGGGTAGTTGGCCAGGAGTTGGCTTCTGGAAGCAACTTTCTTCAAAGTGATCAAAGTATAGGACAGTTCTTTGCCACCTGTCAAGTGCTATTTAATCTAAAGAGCTAGGATTTGGGACCTGACTAGAGACCCAAGCCAGATACTCTTTGTAAGGGAGAATGGTGTTGTGAAGAGCCAGGTGATCCTCCTTGAATGAACATCTCTTCACGGAAGTCACTGTATCTCCTAGAGGCATCCTGTCTGGAATCACAGAGCTTGGCCATTGGATTTTTTGTTTTGTTACCTGGGATCCAACTCAGGGACACATGACCACTCAATTACATCCCCAGTCTTTGTATTTTTTATTTTGAGACAAGGCCTCATTAAGTTGCTGAGACTGACCTCAAACTTGTCATATTCCTGCCTCAGCCTCCTGAGTCATTAGGATTACAAGGTGAACCCCTGCGCCTGGTGGCCACTGGATTTTGTGTCAAGGCTAGTATGGGACTAGGATTGCAGGCTCCCCGACCCCACCCCAGATCCAAGCTTGCATCTCAGGAAAATGGGGTTTTGCTTTATTCTTAAATTTGCCAAGAAGTTCCTCCTATCAGCCAACTTGAGTCCTTCCTGCTACCATTTTTTCATCAGTTTCCTCTCATGCTATTGAGAGGGTGGGCATAGTGTAAGGTGGACCTCTCCCCCTTCCATTCCTGTCTGCACTTGCTTCTTCAAGAGGCCGGAAACATGTCTTCTGGCTTTTGCCCACCACACTTTGGTCCAGTTTCTTTTTGGGGTTCTCTGTCCTATCTTGGGCCTTCCTCCTAGTAAACTCGCATCGGGGTGGGGTCCCTAGGTGGCAGGACCAGATTTGTAGGGGTGGGGAGAGTGATGAGCCAGTGCCTATGCTATGCTACTCTTCCTGAAGGGCACACCAAGCTCTCCCGAAGGGGCATTGACTCCTGCCCTTTCACAGCCCGGAGCATCCCTGTGCCCTTCAAAACACTTCTGCGGCCCAGGCCTATGGCCCGGCCTCCCCGCACCCTCCTCCTGCCTCCGGCCCCAGCACTGCGTTCTTGTGAAAGGTGTCTGCGCGCGAGCCTCGGTCCGGCCAAATATAGACACCAAGTCCGCCCAGCCTGGGACCGAATTTGGCGGCTGGGGGAAGGGGCGCAGACCTTTGTCTCTCCAGAGATCCCGCCCGCTCCGCCGGCTGCGGTTGCCGGTGGTGGGGGTGTACCTGGTCCCGAGCCGGGCTGCGGGGTGCCCACGCTGCGACTCCTCCGCCAAACGGGCCGTGGTTCGCCGGGGGCTGAGGAAGGCGTCAGGGCGCCGGAACTGCCTCTCTGGGTGTCTGGGGCCCGGGTGTCAGGCTGCGCGCTGCAGTCCCAGCTGCCGCTGCCATCAACCTGAGTGGGCGGGGCCTTGGGCGGGGGCGGGGCCAGGGGCCAAACTGCCCCGCCCTCTTTAGCGGCGGGAAAGGGGAGCGCCTCCGACTTCCAGCCGAGGGTCTGTGGGCCTCGGAAGAACGTCGAAAGTAAGTGTTCGTGGGTGTGCGGGTTGCGCGAGCTCCTACCCTACCCTCCGCGCTTCCCAGGTAGGCTGGTCCTCAGACCCAGGGAGGGAACTCGCGAGTGGGTGCGCGCCCCGAGAGTAGGTAGCGCACGAGGCCAGGTGCCTTCGTGCCGCATTCCTGCCACAGTCACTCTCGTAATTTAACCTGTCCTGCGGGCCGAAATTGCGGGACTGCACGTCCAGGTCCCGCAGGGAAGAGTCCCCAGAAGATGCTCTGTGGGAATCTCAGTTTTTGGATAAAAGCCTAGACTGGCCCGGGGCAACAGAGAGGGTACCTTATCAGGGACTGTGAATGTTGCTGTTAATGATAGCGATAGTGATCATTTGAAAACCTAAGACAATGGCATAGCGTTAGACATTTCGCCCATTAGAGACAATTCCATGGAGCAGGGCAGGAAGCAGCTTAGAGACCGGTGTCCATCCCTCCAACACCACATTCAAAGGTCAGAGTAGCCACCTCAGAGGCTGGTGCTTAGCCTCTTAATGTCCTATGGACCTTGCATGAGCTGGCGCCAACTGTGTTCCAGGGAAGCCTCCTCCCACTCCCCCAGGACCCACAGATCTATTTACCAAGGTCAAGGAGGAGATAAACATTATTTCCCACTTTAGCACGCGGAGTTTAGTTCAGCAGTGATTTCTCTGGAAGCTTCAGCAAATTTGGTTGGGGCCTGGACACCTGGAATCAGCAGCATTCAGCCTTCTGGAAGGCAGAGGACTTGGCAGAGGAGGAATGAAGGTGATGGAAACCATGAGGGTCACCACAAGGCTCCTTTCTTTTTCAGGATGAGTCCAGGTGTTCAGTAGCTTATAGGGGAACAGAATCAGAAACTGTCACAGATGCTCCAGAAATAATTCATGGCATAGGGGACTATGAGGATGGATGAGGAGTCTCTCTTTTACCTAAAATGATTCCAGGTACATGTATAGGAGGAAAAGACCAGAGTGACTCAATTATTGATATTGTGATATCAATAATACACACCATGAGCTAGGCACTGTTCTAGGGGCTTTACACATTTTAATAACATTCTGGTAACAAGCTTCTGAGATGGCACTGTGATTATCCCTATTTTACAGATGAGGAAACTGAGGCACAAAGAAGTTAAGAAGCTTACCCATCACTTAATGGTGGTTAGTGAAGCTGAGGTTCTTGCCCCAGGGTCTGACATATGGGCCCATGCTTTTCAACAGTATGCATTTCTGCCTCACCTTAAAGGGCAGTGCCACTTTATCTCAAGTATCTCTAAGGATCTGATGCTGCACAATGCAGAGGAAGGATTGCCTGGACTAATTAGAAAACTGAGGTGGCAATCCTGGCTCAGCCATATTTTTGCAGCTCTCTGGGCTATAAAATGAAGTAGACTGGGTGGAGTTCTAGCTCTGCACCATTTGTTGGCAGAGAAGAGATTTGACGTCTGTCTCCTATTCTGAAATGGCACCCTACCCCTTCTTTCTACTTTCAAGACAGCTGGAGGGGGGGGCTGGGTATGTGGCTCAAGCGGTAGCGCGCTCGCCTGGCATGCGTGCAGCCCGGGTTCGATCCTCAGCACCACATACAAAACAAAGATGTTGTATCCGCCGACAACTAAAAAATAAATATTAAAATTCTCTCTCTCTCTCTCCTCTCTCAGTCTCTCTTAAAAAAAAAAAAAACCTATGGGAGTCATACTATACTTATCCTAATGCTTCTTTAGGACATGTGCTTCTTGAAATTAAAAAAAAAAAAAAAGACAGCTGGGGGGACTCCCTTCTAGAGGGAAGGGTATGGGACTAGGAAGCAGGGATCTTAGTCCATCTTGCCTTCAGTTTCATTACCTGGGAAGAGGGGGTGCTCTGATAACAGCAGCAAGGATTCACAGGTATTTGCTTGATCCTGGCTGGCTCAATCCAGCCCTCCAGCCTTCTGAAGGTTGCCAAGGTCTGGTCGAGCTGTGGGTGAGTGGAGCCAAGGCCTGAAGAACTAATTAGTGGAAGAAGCCGTTTGGGCTTGGTACCTCCCCTCCCAGATGGGTTCTGAACTGCAGTCCACAGAGACAGGCTGGGATTTCATCTCATGAAGTCATTTTCTGGAAGAAGTGGCCTGGAAATTTAGCTCTGATTTCGTCCACTTGCTTCAGCTAGAACGCCAAGATTAGCTTATTAGACTGGTTAGGGACCCCAAGTGTTCTTAGAACATTTAGTGAAGTGAACTTATCTTTTACTATGTTCCAAGTTGTGAGTTCTCTGATCTTCTACAGGGGATATTTTGCAAGATTTGAGGTTTCAGATCTGTACTCTCTTAGAAACCAGTGGTGTGCCCCTCCCACTTGACATACACTATTCAGAATGAAGCAGTTTAGTTCAGCAGTGTTTTCTCTGGAAGCTTCAGCCAATTTGGCTGGGGCCTGGGAACTGAGCTCTCTCTAGATGGTTGTACTCTCTTGTAGTGATGAATAGCATCACTAAATATCTCTGTGATGGGTCTGTGGAGAGGTGGGAAAGGAGACACCCAACCCCCAGCTCATTTGTTAGAATTGCTCTTAGGCTCTGTCTTCTCCCTACGTCACTGACATCAAATATTTCTCTTCTATGGTGGGAGAGTTAAAGTTTTTACTTCTTTGGAAACTCATGTCTCCTTGCTTTCAGTGAGCTTGTGCTAAAAGCATGTTAGCTCTCTCATTAATGTCTATAGAGAGGTCACTCACCCAAATTCTGCCTCTGCTAGGGCAGGTCACTGCAGCTGTCCCTAACCAGTCACTCTGCACCACAGAGGGTGGAAGAATTTTGGTCCCTTTGCTTATTCATTCTGCTAACATTCAGGTGGTAGCTTTGGCAAATGTCTTTGACCAGGCAAGTTCCCAGTTTGGTCACTTGACTGGAGTCATACTGTCTGAAACCATTTTTTTTTTCCCTCTGTTCTGGGGATTGAACCTAGGGGTGCTTTACCACTGAGCTACATTCCCAGCCCCACCCCACCACTTTTTTTTTTTTTTTTTGAGACAGAGTCTTACCACGTTGCTGACACTGGCCTCATGCTTGTGATCCTCCCTTCTCAGCCTCCCAAGTTACTGGGATTACATAAGTGAACCCCTGTGTCTGGCTTGTCTTAACAATTTTTAGTAATTCTATTTCCTATCCAGTCTTCTATTTTGTGAAAGGTAGAAGGTTACGTTCTTTACTTTAGATCTCTTTAGGGTGTGCCTGACTGAGATCAAGAGCACCTGTTCTTGGTGTCCTCTTCTTCCAACCCTTCCACCTTTCTCAGCATCCCCCCTCCTTTATAACACTTAATTGAATACACATTTCATCTTCAAAATAAAAATTTATTCAATCTGTAACAAGAACATTGAATCTGCACATTTGCGCACAAGTTCACATTTAAAAACAGCGGAGCACATCAGTAATAAAAAAAAATCTATGATACAAGTGGAACATCCCAACCACCAGGAAGATTAAGGAAGGAGATGAGACCACTCTTTATATTCTGCTTCAAATGCCTCAAAAAGGTCCCAGAGATTCCAGGGAGCACCTGCTTTATTTAATAAAATGTGAGCATAAATTTTGGGGTAGCCTGGGGCAAAGGTAACAGTCAGTGGGTGAGCCTTCTGGACTTGTTTTCCATGTTTAGAACAAGTTCTACAAAATAAAGTAGGTAACAAACAAAAAAGGCACCTTTAGCTATGCCAGGAAACCAAAATCCAACAAAACATAAACATCAAACAATTCCATGGCCTTATTAATTAGAAAACATTTAAGGACCAGTTCCCCAGTTTTCAGTTTGGGTTACCAGCTTGAGTTAAGGGCTGGGTATTAGTTCTCCATGTGTATGCAGTATGCTGCCACCAGTGTTACTGTGAGGACACAGATGGCAGTACCAGCCATACACCTCTTGGGGGATATTCAAGATAATAAGGATGATTCCAGTTTAGAAATCCTGTCCTAGATCTCTGGGGCATTGAGAAGATGAGGCTGGTTTTCTTTTCATAGCAAAAAACCAGGCTCAGTCATCTTCCATTTCCAGGCTAGAAAAGTACAGAAGCACCTTGCAATAGCTCTCCATGGCGTCAAGGGACCCCAATCCCTGGGAGAAAGGTTAGGAGTGTGCAGCTTCCTGCTTTGGTGGCAGGTCTTTTTCTAATATGGATGTTGGGTGAGTTGAGGCAACAAATACACTTATGTCTAATACATGCCTTGATCTTTTAGTTTGGAATGGAAAACAAAGTCCACGATGCTATAAGTTGCAATGGTGCTAAAACAAATAAAATTTCATGTTGTCTACTATCAAAAAGCAAAGCAATATTAAACAAAAACCATACTAGTCATTCACCATTACGACCATCACTATTTAGACACACTGCCACTGAAGAAATGACGACTATTTAATAGACAGCGCTGGATGGGAGTGCAGGACACAGATGAAAGTCAGCTCCAGGTTTTACCCACCTATCCACAAGGGCTGACATGGCATTGCTTTATGTGAGGACCCATAGGACAGCTGGGGCCTGGGTGCCTACAGGACTGAATGGTCAACATGATGATGCATATTTTAATACAATGTAAACTAAGTACCCACAAAATTGTCTGTAAAAGCCAAAGATGGCTTTATTTTAAAATGCCCTTTAAAGTGACTTTTTGCATAATGCTTTCTTAGGAAAAAGAAACAACTCCCACAAAACATCTTTACCAAACATGCCTAGATCACTTCAGAAGTGATATCCTCAGATGAAGCAGGCAAGAACTTCTGTGAACTGCTATGTCTACC